AACATAAAAAATGACTAGTAAATCTAAAAGGATGGGAATAACATAAAACATTTTTTTCTAATCTCAACAGGTTTAGAATTGGCCAACAGAAAGTAATCTGGAAAGTCATCAATGTTTGGAAATCTCTGTCTCTCCAGCAAGTGCACATGCCCTATGGCAAAAGCATTAAAAAATAAAATAGTTCTAAATAAAGCATAATTAAAAAAAAAAAAAGAGTGAGACCACCAGATGATGATTATGTTGCTGGACTCCCACGTAGTAAACCACAAACTGAGTCCCAGACCTGGTGGCTTAAAACTCACACCAGACATGTGTGAATGTGTACCCAAAATTTCAAGAGAAGAATGGAGGAGAAGGGATTGCCAGTGTGTCCATCCCCCTTGTGTGTGGGGGATGATTTCTTGCTATCTATCTCTGTCTCTCCAATGAGCGCATGTGCCTATAGCAAAAATCCCTCTTAAAGAAAAAAAAGAAAAAGAAAGAAAATTGGAAAATATTTTCAAGTGAATAAAAATTATTATATAAAAAAGTAGGTTGAGAAACTCTACCACTTGAATGCAAAATTTGATAGCCCCCAAAATCAAGACAGTATTTGTTGGGAAGAGGATAAGCGTGTATATCAATGTGTAAGAATTGAGACTCCAGAAACAAATTCTTACAATTATGATTAACTGATTCCAACCAAGGTTCCATGACAATTCGAGGGTTGAGGACTGAAACTAAACACCTTCCTTTGTTTTAAATTTTTCCTAGAGGCCCAAGGCAGTTACTACGATAACAGACTGCACTGGTCCAGCAGTTGTGAGATGCTCCCTTTGCCCTGACTCAGGTAGTCAAGTGAATGCATAGACAGGTCTTCTTATCTGTTAAAGGTAAGCTCAGATATTATTTCCTGCCATCTCTGAATCTTTTAAAGAAAAAAAAAAAAACTATGCTTTTATCTAGTTACTAACCTTGTAATTTCTAAACCCACCTATAACTGTAAGCCTCTTCTTCTAAATGTTCTCTTTTATGGGCCAGAACAATATAAAAACTCTGTATGTTGATTAACAGTTTTCTTGTACCTCCTGCTCTCAAAACTACATGAAAGAGCTGTTGTACCTAAGCTTCCCAGAACACTTTCTAATGGCTACCAGGATTGTGTTCACTGGTTATGGTCACTTATAATTTTGCTATAATTAAACTTTTAAAATATTTTATAAAGTTTGACTATTTCTTTTATTTATTTATTTACTTTTTTTTTTTTTTGAGAGGGATTTTTGCTATAGGGCACATGAGCTTGCTGGAGAGACAGAGACAGAAAGTGAGAAATCACACCCTCCCCAAGGGAGCTGACCACACCATAATCCTTTCTCTTCCATTCTCCTCTCAGGATTTTGGGCATGCATGCATGTATGCTGGAATGAGCTTTTTTTTTTTTGGGGGGGGGGGGTTTGCTATAGGGCGTGGGCCCTCTTCAGGGGTGGTTTGCTATAGGGCGTGTGCACTCTCAAGAAAGACACAGAGAGACAGAGAGCTAGAAAGCGAGAAATCACACCCCCAGGGGAATGGCCACACCACAATCCCTTCTCCTCTTGGGATCTTGGGCATGCACACACACACGCCTGGTGTGAGTTTAAGCCATCAGGTCTGGGAATCAAATCGCAGTCAACTATGTGGGAGTCCAATGACATAGCCATTATGCCAATAGCTGGTCCTTGGCATGAGGTTTTTAAGCTGCCAGGTCCAAAACTCCAACTGCAGTCAACTACATGGGAGTCCAGCAACATAACTATTATGCCATCTGCTGGTCCTAGAGTTTTGTTATTTCTTTAGACAGGGGAAAGAATATTCATTTCAAGAAATAGTACTAGAACAATTAGAGACCTATGTGCATAAAAATAAACTTAGACACTTTCCTTATAGACATTTTAAAAAAACTCAAAATATATCACAGACTTAAACACAAGAGCTAAAACTCTACTTTAAGAGAAAACATACAAGAAAATCCTCATGGCTTGATTTGAACAATGAGTTCTTTGATATGACACCAAAAGCACAAACCGGACAAAAAGGTAAATTAAACTTATGCAAAATGGAAGTATAAAAGTCTACATTTCCAAAAGCACCAACCAATAAATGGAAAGACAACCATAAACTTAAAGAAAATATTTCCAAATCCTACACCCAACAAAGAACTGGCATCCAGAATATAAGAATATCTAGTGTAGAAGAACTCTTATAACTCAAATGTAGGAAGATAAAAACACAAATAAAAATGGGGATTCTTACAAATCTAAATATACTCTTTCTATGCCACACAGTCCAGCAATCATGCACCCTTATATTTACCCAAAGGAGTTGAAAGTATATCCATGCAAAAGCCTGCACGCGAGTATTTATAGCAGCCTTATTCATATTTGCCAAAACTTGGAAGCAACTAAGCAATCCTTTAGTAGGTAAATTAATAAATAAATTCTAATACACCCAGACAACGGAACATTACTCACTGTTAAAGTGAAATGAGCTGGGGATCAGCAGCAGGCATAATTGCTATGTTGCTGGACTCCCATGTAGTTGACTGTGGTTCGTGTCCTGGACCCGGTGGCTTAAACTCATACCAGGTGTGTGTGCATGCATGCCCAAGATCTCAAGAGGAGAATGGAGGCGAAGGGATTGTGGTGTGGCCATTTCCCCTGAGAGGTGATTTCTCGCTTTCTGTCTCTGTCTCTCTCTGTCTTTCTGGCAAGCATATATGCCCTATAGCAAAAATCTCTGCACCCCCCCCAAAAAAAAAAGTGAAATGAGCAATGAAGCCATAAGAAGACATGTAGTGGGGCCAATAGGTGGCATGGTAGTCAAGGGGCTAAGCTCATATATGGCTGGCCATGATTCGAGTCCCAGACCTAGCAGCTTGAAAATCATGCCAGATGTGTATGTGTACCTAACACCCTAAGAGAAAGGACAAAAAGGGATTGCAGCATGGCCTTCCCCCTTGGAGGATGATTTCCTCCCTCTGTCTCTCTTACCTTCTCATCTGTCCTATGGTAAAAACCTAAACAAACAAACAAACAAAATACATGAAGGAAACTAAGTAAAAGAAGCTGATCTCAGGCTGGCCCCATAACCTAGTGGTTAAGGGAGCCGGATCTCACATGGCTGACCACAGTTTGAATCCCAGTTCTTGTACCTTGAAAAACATGCTGGGTACAAGTGTGTGCATGCCCAGAATCCTAACAGGACAGAGGAAGGGAAAAGGGAGTGCAGTGTTACCATGCTCCACTGGGGAGTGTTTTCTCACTCTCTCTTTCTCTGTCTCTATGAGTACACATGCCCTCTGTCATTAAAAAAGAAAGAGAAAGAAACCAATCTCAAAAGACTACATATTGTAGAATTTCAACTATACATTCTGAGGTGAAAAATTATGGAGACAGTGGGGACCAGCAGTTGGCATAATGACTGTGTCGCTGGACTCCCACATAGTCAACCGTGGTTCGAGTCCCTGACCTGGTGGCTTAAACTCACGCCGGGCACGTGTGTGTGCGTGCCCAAGATCCCAAGAGGAGAACGGAGGAGAAGGGATTGTGGCATGGCCATCCCCCATGGGAGGTGATTTCTCACTTTCTGTCTCTCTGTCTCTCTCTGTCTGGCGAGTGCATGCGCCCTATAGCAAAAACCTCTCCCCCCCAAAAAAATGGGGGATGGTGAAAATGTCTTGTGTTGCCAGTGTTAAGTAGGACAGGAGAATGAATAGGTGAATTGCATTATAGACTACTCAACTCCTAAGAATCTACTTAAGAAAAATAAAAAAAAAATGATCATACATACAAAGACATATATATGACTGTTCATAGCATGTTATTCATAATAGAACAACACTAGAAATAATCTGACTGTTCATTGTTGTTCAGTGAGTAGATAAACAAAAGCTAGCCAATGGAATACTGTTCAGCCATGAAAAGGCATGAAGGACTGATACATGCTACCACATGGATGAACTTCAAAAACATTACGAAAAATGAAAAAGTCAGGTATATATTATATAATCCCATTAATAAAAAATACCCATAAAAGCACATGTATAGAGAAAGAAAGCAAATCAATGGTATCCTAGGTTTGGGATTTTTAAATGAGAGATGAGATGATAAAATCTTAGATCTCTAGTAGTTCCTGACATTTTGCACACAGCATATTATATTTACGCATACACAGAAAACAAACCTAAATGTTAAAGTCTAATTGCCACTATATCTTCAGGATTTTTATTTTTAATTTGCCAGAGGGTTTGTGTGCTCACTGAAGAGAGACATAGAAAAGAAGCAGAAAGGAGAGAAAGCACCCCCCATGGGCTTGGTCATGCTGCGGACTCTTCTCCCCATTCCTCCCTGCCCTTTTAGGATTTGGGGCATGCATGTACATATGCTCTGAATGTTTTTCAAGCCACTAGGTCTAGGACTCAAAGCATGTAGTTGGCCATATGGGATCTTGCTCTCTTAACCACCAGGCCATAGGCTGGATTTGTCAGGATTTTTATTACCCAAGTCATATCACTCACATCTATGAACTGGTTTATGAATGTGCATTTGTATTGCTGTGTGGTCTAGAACAGGATATCATAAAGTCAAAAAGAGGACAATGGTTTTGAAGTCTAGTTATAAAATTAACTCTGTGGTGAAGAAAATATTAGACCTGAATCAGTAACCTGTTAAGTTTCATCTCAGCTAATTCCACCTGCTGAGATAAGAGGTCTTGGATGTAAAAGAGGTGAAAGATCCTTTGGAACAAGCTGAGTGGGGACATCCAGCATTGACCATAGCACAGCAGCAGTGGACTAGGCAGGGTCACATATGCTGGGTTCAAGTCCTAGCTCTGCACCTGCTTGCTGGGTCATCATGGTTTTATTTCATCTCTTTGCTCAGTGTCCTAATCTACACAAAATGTTGGTGTGATCCCACGCCTGGCCCTGGACGATGGCTCTCAGCCTTGCTCAGATATTGGCCACAGGACGGGGTGTGGCTCACCTGTGGGAGGTGAGCACAGCAGCACAGCCTTCCTCAACCTCCTTCGTTATTGTTTTCCAGAGGTAGCGCTTAGAGCATGGATCCATCCCTGAGCTGGGCTCATCCTAAAGGAAAGAAAACACAACGTGATGTATTATTATGAAAGATATTTGCTCTTTGCCCTGTTTTCTGGCTATGAAGCCTAAAATCCTTCACAGCTTAAGTGTTTACTTCACATTAATGAGCTGACTGATGGCTAGCAGTCCCTATGGGGTCCCCAGCAGGGGGACTATTTACCTGAAAGACTACATCAGGATTAAGGTCTGAGATTTTTGGTCCTCTCCTCACTCTAACTTCCAGAGAGGTGAGAGGAGCTGAAGGTTAAGTTGGTCACAAATGGCCAATGATTTAATCGATAGTGCCTATGTAATGAAATCTCCAGAAAACCCAAAACGGCAGGGTTCAGAGAGCTTCTGGTAGTCCCGGAGGCTCCATGCATCTTCCCCATCCCTTGCACTATCCATCTGTTCATTTGGTATTCTTCAGCACCTTCTGTAAGTCTCTTATAATAAGCCAGTAGACATAAATTAGTGTCACCCTGGTTCTATGAGCCACTTTCACAAATTAATTGAACTCAAGGTGGGGTTCAATTGAACCCCAGTTTATAGCCAGTGGGTCAGAAGCACAATAAAACAACTGGGGGCTTGGGATGAAATCTGAAGTGAGGTCTCTTGGAGATTGAGCCCTTACCAGTGGGGCTAACACCATCTCCAGAGACACAGCATCAGGAATGAACTGAACTGTGACCAGCAGTTGGCATAATGGCTATGTTGCTGGACTCCTATGTTGTCGATCATGGTTTGAGTCCCATGCCCAGTGGCTTAAACTAACGCCGGGTGCATGTGTGTGCGTGCCCAAGATCCTGAGAGGAGAATGAAGGAGAAGGGATTGCGGTGTGGCCATCCCCCCTGGGGGGTAATTTCTCACCTTCTGTCTCTCTGTCTCTGTTTCTGTCTTTCTGGTGAGCACATGTGCCCTATAGCAAAAACCTATCCAAAAAAAAAAAAAAAAAGAACTGAACTGAACTATGGGACACCAGCTGGTAGCCACTGCAAAACTAACTGGCTGTTTGGTGTCTGGGGAAAAACCTCCACACGTCTGATCACTGAAGACTTCTATTTTGGTTTATGAGTGAGCATACAGGAGAAACTGAGTTTAGAACTTTCCTCAATATTCTTATATTGGGTGACAGTGGAAAAAAGCATATGGTGTGACCAGCCCTATTAGGAGATACAAGGATGCTTTCTCTCTCTGTGTCTTATGCACACAGGCACTCTGGTATGAAAATAGAAATACAACAGAACATGTTGGGAGAAATGCGGTGGAAAGAAAACTCTTGTACATTATTGGCATAAATTTAAACTGCTACAGCTTTATGATAAATAGTTTAGAGTTCCCTCATAAAATTAAAACTGCTGGGACCAACAAGTAGCACATTGGGTAAGGTGCGGGACTCCCACATGGCCGACCGTGAAAGGCAGATTGAAAATCACACCAGGTACACGTGTGTGTATACCCCAAATCCTGAGAAGGGAATAGAAGAGAAGGAATTGCAGCATGGCCACTTCCCTTTGGGGTATAATTTCTTATTTTCACTCTGTCTGTCTGTCTTTGACAAGTGCATGTGCCCTATGACAAAAGAAAAAACTAAGGAGAAATAAAGTGATTTTGTTAGAGTATGGGTGCTCACCAGAGAAAGAAAGAGAGAAACAGTGAGAGAGGAAGTGAGAAATTACTTCCCAGGTGGGATAATCACTATTCTCCTCCTGGGATTTTGGCATACACACACATATGCCCAGCATAATTTTCAAGCCACCAAGTCTAGGACTTGAACCATGGTTGGCCATGTGAGAGTCCAGTACCTTAACCACAATGCCACCTGCTATTCCCCATTAAAAATAATAATAAAATAATAATAATATGGGCCAGCAGATGGCATAATGATTATGTCACTGAACTCCCACATAATTGACAATGGTTCAAGCCCTGGACCTGTGGACTTAAAATTCATGCTAGGCATGTGTGAGTGCATGCCCGAAGTCCCAAGAAGAGAATGGAGAAGAGGGGACTGTGGTGTGGCCATCGCCCCAGAGGGTTATTTCTCACTTTTTGTCTCTCTGTTTCTCTCTCTTTTTGGCAAGCACACGTGCCCTATAGCAAAAATCTCTCTAAACAATAATAACAATAACAATTATAAATGCTACATAAATCATATGATCTAGCAGTCTCACTTCTGGGAATATATGCAAATGAAATAAAATCAATACCCTGAAGAGGTACCTGTACTATCATGTTCATCACAGCATCATTCGCATTTATGAAAATGTGGACATAATCTGAATGTTCCATGACAGATAAATTAACTAGGGGGAAAAAAGCTGGCATGTGAATACACAGGGCAACTGGACCAACATGCAAAAGGTCCTGTTTTCATGTCTTGGGACCTCCCTGAGCACATCGGGCACATTTATCCATGCCTATGATCCTGGTTATCTGAAACTGGAGTGTATGGCAGCATGGGGATCCTATGGGACATGCCTCTCTCTTTCTTTTTCCCAGAAGTAAAGAATAAACTTTAATAGATGTGACCCTTGAACATGTACTTTTATACCACACCCATATATACATACACATATGAGTGTGTGTGAGTGTGTGTGTGTTATATATAATATAGAATTCTATTCAGTCTTAAAAAAGAAAGGCAATCTGCCAATTTCTGGGGGGAAAGCCACATAGGGATACATCTTTATATCAGCTTACTTTCTCTTTGCAGTCTGGCTAGGGATGCCAACTTTGTAAAGTACATTCTCAACCTCCATAAAATTTTGGAATAATATCCACAAGAAAGGGATACGATAGCAGAAAAAGGTTTCATTTATCTAGTGAGATCAAATAAACTGAAAGTTCTTGGAAGCTAAAGAGTTCCCTTTTAATAAATACTGAAACACTTATCATTTGAACCACTTTTGAGAAAAATCTTGCCAAAGCATATCATGCCTGTCTGTGCTTTTTGCAGTCACGGAGTACTAAATGCATTTTTCTGAAGAGCCTTAGGGTCATCAACCTCTCCAAAGAAAGATAGCAAGTGAGAAGAAAACAAGAGGCACTGAGCAGGAAAACAAACACCTGGTCTCTCTGAAAATCAAGCGAAACATATGCTAGTTATAAAAATGCGTTAAATAAAAGGTGTGATCTTGCATTAGAGACTTCAGTGTGTAGTTTCCAATTCTCCTGGTGCCTACGTTGTGCTACTGAGAGGCACTTCCTGTCTCTCTGTAGAGAACTTCAAAGGCATCTCTCTAATCTGATGCTCTGAACACTCACCATCATTGTGGTCACTAACGACCAGGATGGGTTTGCCATGTACTGAACACTGGGCTATGTGCTTAACATGAACTGTCTCATTTACCACTAGCAATAGCTTCATGAAGTAGACTATTTTGAGGACTATTTTCAGATGAGGAGCAGGCATTGAATGTAGGGTCACATGCTGGGCAGCTGCAGAAGCAGAGTGTGAACCTGGTCAATTAGACTGCAGAATCCCCATCTTGATCACTATGCCAGAGTCCTTGGCATCCCAAGGAAAGGACAAATAAAACAAGAGGAATGTTAGAGTCCACGGTGAGCCAGAAGCACAGTCCCAGAGCAGAGGCCCCTTCGTCCAACCAAATGAATGAACTGTGAGCGGCTGAGCATGGGGAAGGTATGACGAAGGTAAAGAATGCCTCAGTCTTGTTCACTCTTCAGCACAGCACGCCTGATCATGAAAGGAAAGTATAATCTGAAAACTACAGAGTTGTGCAAATGTTAGTTTGTGATCTGTTTCCAGAATACGAAATTATGCAATAGTACATGAGTTTGCAACTTACAAAAGCGAACTTCAAGCAAGTGAAAGGCAAGTTTTGAGAAGACAAGCAGTAGATGACGGAACCATATTCTAACACAGGTCTTCTGAGTCCTTATTAATTCCCCCATGAAAATGCTGTTTTCATTTGATGAGTAAGAACAGAAAAAAAGTAAATAATCTACATTATTTGCCATACTTTTGACACCCCTGAGACCTTTTATAAGGGCAAAGCTGTGGGGTGTACTCAAGTGATGGCAATCCAATTTATGGCACAAGAGCAGTAACTTGTATTTACAATTATAGCTATTTAAAAAAAAAATTGTCAGAGGGTGTGTGCACTCCCTGAAAAGAGACAGAATGTAAGAAATCACACCCTATGGGGGATATTTATGCCACAATTCTTTCTCCTCCATTTCTCCCTCCTGTTGGGATTTTGGGTACACACACACACACACACACACACACACACACTTACACATCGCCAGGGTGTTTCTCAAGCCAGGTCTAGAATTCAAATTGTACAGTTAGCCATGTGGGATTCAGCTACATCAATTTCAGCTGTTTTTTAAATGCCTGATAGTTGGCTTTATTTTTTGACAATTATCAATTAATGCTTTGATCCAGCCATACTGAGTTACTTTCAATCCAGGTAGGCCACAGATTACCTGTCTCAAGGCCATTGCACATAAGCTACTCTTTTGCTGTAATTAACTTCCCTGCTTTTCCCGTCAATTTCATCCTGCACGCCAGACACCCACCCTTAGGATTTGCTGTATTGGGTGTCATTACAGCTCTGACAAACATACTCAGGTTGAGCAACCCTAATCTGAAAATCCAAACTCTAAAATGTTCCAAAATCCAAGCCATTTTGAACACCAACCTTATACGAGAAGTAAAAATTTTCACATGATCTCATAATATAATCAAAACACTTCAATTAAAAAATATCATATTAAGAACCTTTAGGCAATATATAAAAGGTCTGTAGGAAATACAAACAATGGGACCAGCAGTTGGCGTAAGGGCTATGTTGCTGGACTCCCACGTAGTCGACTACGGTTCAAGTCCTCGACCCAGTGGCTTAAATTCACTCTGAGCGCATGTGCATGCATGCCCAAGGTGCCAAGAGGAGAATGGAAGAGAAGGGATTGCAACATGACCATTCACACCCCTGGGGGGTGTGATTTCTCGCTTTCTGTCTGCCTCTCTCTCTCTCTCTCTCTCTCTCTCTGTCTTTCTGGCGAACACATTCACCTTATAGCAAACACCTCTCCAAAAATAAATAAATAAATAAAAAACAAAAACAAAACAAGGATTTTATGTTTAGACCTAGGTTCCATCCTCAAGTATCTCATCATGTATATGAAAACACTTTAAAATTTTTAAAAATTGGGAACCAGCAGTTAGTGTAATGGCTATGTCGCTGGACTCCCACGTAGTCGACCGCGGTTCGTGTCCCGAACCCGGTGGCTTAAAACTCACGCCGGGCGCGTGTGCGTGCGTGCCCAAGATCCCGAGAGGAGAATGGAGGAGAAGGGATTGCGGCGTAACCATCCCCCCTGGGGGGTGATTTCTCGCTTTCTGTCTCTATGTCTCTCTCTGTCTGTCTGGCGAGCGCACGTGCCCTACAGTGAAAATCTCTCCAAAAAAAAAAAATTTTTTTTAATTCAAAATAACTTTGATTCCAAGCATTTTAGATAAGGGATACTCAACACATATCTGCTAATAGAAAAGAACTTAAAATGATATGCTATAGGGAAACCACATAGTGGTCGTTAGATTATAGGTGAATTCTAATATTCTTTTAAAATACCCTTTTGATGATAAAATTTTATTTAATTTTCAATTTGATAAATCTAAATGAATCTATTTTTAAAAGTTTCATTTCTGTAAAACTCAATGATATTTTACATCCTGTTTATGAAATGTTATATCAGAGCAAAAGTTTAGTAGCTCATAGAACCCACATAACAACTGCTGACCTTACTCCCTGGAAGAACTCTGATAGGTTAAAATAAGCTCACAAGAACACATGCGATGTACATCTTATTTCAAGACATTAGACTGTGAGTGAAATTTCTGCTACTCACCAGTAAAAGGATATCAGGCTTCCCCACCAGGGCCAGGGCTGTGGAGAGTTTCCGCTTAGTCCCCCCACTGTACGTGGTCACAAGTTTGTCTGCATGGGCTTCCAGGTGTAAGCGCCTCACAAGGTCTCTGGCAACCTGGAGAGGAAAACCGCCCGTGAGTTCACCTCCATTCACTGAAGTGCCCACCAGACACCTGAGTCTCAGCTGTGACCCTTGCTCCTTCCACACCTCACATATCCAGCCAAGTACAGATTCCTGACTTAAACTTTGACTTAGTGATGGTACAAGAGTGATATGTATTCAGTAGAAACCACACTTCAGATTTTGAATTTTGATAGACAATTCCTTATAAGTTTATTATAAAATCAGCTTTGTGCTAGACGATTTATCTAGATGTAGACTAAAGTAAGTGTTCTGAGCGTGATTCAGGGAGGCTGGGCTAAGCTATATATCATGCTCCATAGGTTAAGTGTAGTGTACACATTTTCAACTTATGATGTTTCCCTCTTAGGACGGGCTTATTGAGATATTACACCAGCGTAAGTCAAGGAGCATCAGTACATCTCCTAGAACATCTCCCTTCATGATAAAGGGAGTAGTTGAGAGCAAACGGGTGGGAGTTTCTGTGCCAGGAGACATCTAAGTGTGATCAGAATGCTCAAGTCTGCAGCTCAAGGTAGCAGGATGGGGAAAATAGGTACAGACTCAAAACTGGGCCCGGAATAATATCTAGATTAAGACAGCTGAGAAAAGTGAGCCAATAAGAAGATAGTGAAGAAATGGGGGGTCAGGGAGGAGGGAATGGAAAAATAAATGATTAACAGACACAAAAATGTAAACAAGGCAAATGCATGTAAACAAGGCAATAGGAAAAAATCATAAATAATTTTTTTTATAAAAAGAAGAAACTGAATAAGAATGGAAACAAGAGAAAGAGGGACCCAAGAGCATAATAAACATTGCACAAAGCCTGATCTTTTCAAATAAGCAAACAGGAATAGTGATGAGTCTAGAAAAAAATGACAAATTGGGGAAATATAATAATTTTGATGATTAAAAACATTACAATAAAGGAAAGAAAACATAATATGTTTGTGTATTGGAAATAAATTTTTATCTACTCTCTTATTTAAAAACTAGTAATACATTAAAAAAAATCTGGAAAATGGTAATGAAATTTTTTAAATAAGAAAGGCCCCTAATTCTGTAGAAATGCACCTCAGGATGATAAGGAAAGTTTTATTTATTTATTTTTTTTGTTTTATTTTTGGAGAGATTTTCACTGTAGGGCGCGTGCACTCGCCAGACAGACAGAGAGAGACAGAGAGACAGAAAGCGAGAAATCACCCCCCAGGGGGGATGGTCACGCCACAATCCCTTCTCCTCCATTCTCCTCTCGGGATCTTGGGCACGCACGCACACGCGCCCGGCGTGAGTTTTAAGCCACCGGGTCCGGGACACGAACCGCAGTCGACTACATGGGAGTCCAGCGACATAGCCATTACGCTAACTGCTGGTTCCCAAGGATGATAAGGAAAGTTTTGAACACACTCGCCAAGCTATTATTACTCATTTTTATGAATCCAGGAATCCTATGCCTTGTGTTCCCAGTGTCACAAAAGATTAAATGCTGCAGCCTGCAAGTCTTGGATTGGTTAACTACAGGAAAGACCCCGAATATACAGGAACAAATGTATCAGTTTGATCTATTGCCTTCTGAATGTCATGTTTTCAGAAAAATAACTGAAAATGGCCTAATAAGTATTTTGTTGAAGTCTCTCTGCACTCAGCACCACTGTCAAAATACTGGCAAACAAAATGCCTTAGCAATTATGGCTGACAAAATACTTTCCACTCTCCCAAATGTCAGGAGTTTACAGGGTCTTTCTCTAGTATTTGATATTTTTGTACCATTAAAGCTCTAGAAATTGTATGTACTTAAGGCAAGAGATTGGGATTCTCTCAGTTTTATATCCCCAGCGCTTAATTATGTTTGGCTGCTTGGCACAGAGAAGAATGTTTATATCATTGAGTCAAATTAAACTGCTCAGAATTCACAGACATGTCTGTTGGATTCCAAAGTCAAAATTTTTACACCAGTACACAGGATGACCACCTCAAAATTTTCCTTGTCATTGAAGATCAGAATGAGTAGCTAAGTAGGAAGAAGGAGCCAAAGAGTTCAGATGGAAAGCTTTTTTTTTTTTTTTTTTTAAATGGGAAAAGTTTTTTTTTTTTTTTTTTTTTTTTAATTTCCTGTAGGGCACACACACTAGCCAGAAAGAGACAGAGAGAGAGGAAAAGTGAGACATAATCATTGCCCCTGTCCCCCACCATGGCCAGGCCATGCTTCAATCTCTTCTCCATTCCCCTCTCAGAATTTTTTTGGGTGCACACACATGTGCCTGGTGTGTTTATTGAGCTGCTGGATTTAGGACTCAACCGTGTAGTCAGCCATGTGGGACCCAGTGCCTTAACTTTCATACCACCTGATGGCCAACTTTTCATTTTTTAAAGTTTATTTATTTTATTTATTTTTTTAGTTGATTTTTTTTTTTTTTTGAGAGAGAGAGAGAGATTTTTGCTATAGGGTGTGTGCGCTTACCAGAAAGACAGAGAGAGACAGAGAGACGGAAAGTGAGAAATCACCCCTCAGGGAGGATGGTCATGCCACAATCCCTTCTCCATTCTCCTCCCGGGATTTTGGGCATGCACACATGTGCACCTGGTGTGAGTTTAAGTCACCAGGTTCAGGACTCGAACTACATGGGAGTCCAGAGACATAGCCATTACATTATCTGCTGGTCCCTATTTTATGTCTTTTATGAGAAAAGGGTTAAGAGAGAGAATGAGAAAGAGGTATCTTTTTTTTTTTTTTTGGAGAGGTTTTCACTATAGGGCATGTGTGCTTGCCAGACAGACAAAGAGAGACATAGAGACAGAAAGCGAGAAATCACCCCCCAGGGGGGATGGTCACACTGCAATCCCTTCTCCTTTGTTCTCCTCTCAGGATCTTGGGCACGCACGCACGCCTGGCATGAGTTTTAAGCCACCGGGTCCGGGACGCGAACTGTGGTTGACTACGTGGGAGTCCAGCGACATAGCCATTACGCTAATTGCTGGTTCCCAAGAAAGAGGTATCTTTAACAAGTTCTCATCAAGCCGCAATCCCCTCTCTTATATCTCTTAGCTAGTCAGGATCTTAGGTATAGGTGCTGTGTTTTAGGTCAACTTCGGATCTGAACCTGAGGTAGCCATGTGGCTTCCAGAACTGCAGCACAGTATACTACTGCCTGTACCTAAGTGTCTGGGCTGCAAGGGTCTCTCTTTAGATCTTCCCTCTGAAGATCACCTTCTTGTCTCTTTTGTTCCTATAACTTCTACTTCCTTCTAGCAAAACCGCGAATGGAAGAAAACTTCAAGATAAAAGTCACATCTAGAGACTAGATAATGAGAAACCAGATACAGTCTGGGTTTTTCCTGGTAGGGATTTTCAGATTTTAACCAAAATAGAAATGGGGAGAGTGATGCAGTGGTACACAGATATGACCAGAAACCTGGGAACAAGGTCATCTGTGGGTCTATGAGGCAGGTGGAGCTTAGCACAGGGCTCAGGCTCTGTGGGTCTGAAGAAGGGAGGAGACGGGGCCTAGAGGCTGCATTAGGAGGACCCACTCAGCAGGTACAAGGGTGTCCCAGAATCTCAGAGGACACAGAAACAGCTGCTCAAATCACAGGGAAAATAACAACAGCCTAGAAAAAAGAACCCACGTTAGCAGACAGGCAGAAGAAACCACCTACCATATCTAGGAGGACTGGAGGTATTGGGGTCAGGTACACACCTGAGACCCAGCTCCAGAGCAAGGGACAGTCACACAATAAGAAAAGCTTCATGTCAAGTGAATCACTTGCTAACCCCACAAAATGTCCACTTCTTCAGCCACTCCAGAGCCAGGAAAATTAAGACTAAGCTCTTAGAAATTCCACTAGAAACTCTGTTTTTACTTCTAGCAACCTGCATTAATTACTAAGTGTCAGAGCGATATCCCAACCAAGAACATATACTCTAACGCTGTTTTATTGGGTTTCAGAATAAACCCTGCTACATACTAACCACATGACTTGGCTGAGTTAGTTGACCTTGCTATGCCTCCATACTCCCATTTGTAACATGACAATAAGCACCTTCTCTCTTTCATGAAGTTGCTGTAAATACTTAGAATAATTCTCCACAGAATAAGTACTAAAATGAGGCCCAGCCACAGTGGTGCAGGTGGTAGAAGGTTATTGAGCTGTGCTGAAGCCACATGGAAGGCCCAGGGTCGTCGGGTCCTGCGTCCATCTGAACATGAGCCTATGAGCCTGGCTGGCTGGGAGGATGGAGGAAGAATCATGCTGTGGAGAGGCCCTATCAGTGAAACTGTTACTCTCTCTCAATAAACACCATAAACTTTAAAAAATATATACCGAATAGTTGCTGAGATGATCATTTTGTAGTAGTATTATTACTTTGAGAGAGATTTTTGCTAGAAGGTGTGTGTGCTTGCAGGAGAGATGGAGAGAGACAGAAAGTGAGAAATCACAATGGCCATGCTACAATCCCTTCTCCTCCATTCTCATCCTGGAACTTTGGGCATGCACACACACAAGCCTGAAGTGAGTTTCAAGGCACTGACCCTGACACTCGAACTGTAGTTGGCCACATGGGAGGCCAGCACCTTAATCACTATGCCACCTGCTGACCCCATTTTTCTATTATTTTAAATTAATTCCTTCCAGTCACCCTGTCATCAGCACCTCAGGATAGATGATATGCCTGTTCTACATTATAAATATTTCCAAAATGTAGAGGAGAGGGAGATACACCAGACAGGGATCCAACTCCCTCAGGAATAGACGGAAAAGTATTCTGGCATATTAGAAATCTCTGTCGGAGCAAGTTCCTGTGCTGTCTGCAAAATCAGTTGCAGTTGTATTGAAGAAAGGAAGACATTGCTAACTGGCAACTATTAGAGTAACTTTTCTCAGTGCTGACATTCAGAAAAACAAGGCTGTAAAACAGCTGAGGATCAGAAGGCAGTCGCTGGGAAAGGCAGGAAGCGCCAAGTCACTGTATTAACAAGAGCCTTTCTATACGTGCATTTCCCCCGGAAAACAAAGTCCGGATCATAGCATTTGCCAAGCATCCGCCTCTTTAATCAAACCCTAACGAGGGGAAACTGACAAACAGGAACACCTATTAAAACCAGAGCCAACAATTAGCCTTGGATTCCAATCGTTGTTTAACTACCCTATTTCCTAAGGGGGAGTCAATTACCTTTGCTTTATTAATAAGGGAGGTGGGTAGGGTCCGGATTCCCTACAATGGTGTGGAGATATTCTGTTCTAGTTTCACGTAAAGTTCAGGACATAAATAAGGAATGAAGGCTGAAGCATTATAAAGACAGCACAGAGAATGAATTTTCATGGACCAGTGAAGACGATGGCTATTAGTTTTGTCTCATGTGAGTCCCCGGATGTTCATCTCCTGCAGAATGTAATTAAAAATGCATCACATAAGCCACTTGCTTCTACTTCTAGTTCAGAATCCATAAATTCAAGGAGCAGCCCAGACTCTCCATAATGAGGTGCAGAAAAGGTAAAAATGTGCCTTAAGCAACTGCCACTCTGGGGGTCCCTATTTGCAACATCCTCTGAGCTGTCAGTCAAGGCTGTCTGCTCTGCCTGGCTGACCACTGCTCATAGCAGGAGAAATGGCAGCTGTCTCTTGCCTTCATACTGTTTCATTTGTCTCTCCCCCACCTCACAGTGATGGGGTAGGGCTCCCGCAGTTTCTGCCATTCCTTCATTCTCCTGAGGCCACCTTAAAGGAACCCTTAGTCAGGAAGCTGTCAGCCCACTCACCAGGAAGTCATCTATTCAATGATCCCAAATTCCACACACATTCTGTCCCACTCCTCTGTAAACCCTGGGGATGAGGAGGGTTTGTTTCCGAATACAAAGTAATAGTCCAATAAATGGAAAAGCATTTGAGAAATAACAAAAGAAAGAGTAAGATAGAGTTATAAACAATGCTATTTATGCTTTAAGTCCCACCACAGGACTCCTCACACAGATACATTTTAAATACGTAATATAAATTTGACAAAACATATTTTATTATGTTCCCTTCTGTGTAGTCACATTGGAAAATATCTTCCAGATAAGCTTGTCTGAGTCTGCAGCTCCTTCGCCTCATAAGGTGTGAGAGCAGCCTTGACCAGGAAGTGGACACCACGCATTCCTCAATGGATCCCTTTTTGAGAAAACCCCGAGGACGCCTACCTCAGGTATGTCCTCCTTGGGAATCCCGCGTAGGCTGCAGTAATAATGAAGATGTTCCCAGCCAGTCAAGAGCTCATCCAGGGCATCTTGCTGTGGACAATAGCCAATGAGAACGCCAGCCTCACCAGCAGAACACAGATCCACGTAGGCGCTGCAGACAGAAGAGGTGCAGGTTGAGAACAGCTGACTTCCCCAGTGAAAATCAACCCATATTTAAAATGTAGCTCATCAGTAAGAAACCTGTTGCAGTTTGTTTAATGTCATTCATCCATGCACATAAATAGGTTCAATTATTGAGAAGTAAAAGGTACCACAATATGCCATCTCAAAACATGGCTCCTTGGCACATGGACTATTCAGCTAAAGGCAATTGAGAAGCAGACACAGGAAAAGCTCCTTACCTCTCTCAGACTGCCTAAAACGGTACCAGCTTCCCCACTTGAAAAGGAAATTTACATTGAGAAGAGGATTTCCGTTTATAAAGAAATTTTTGTACCAGGAAGAGACAACTCCCAGATAACTCTCCTCCCCTGAGAACACCCTCATGCATGCACCATGGCTCCGCCCACAACCCATCATTCCATAACTTGCCTCTCCTTTCCCTTAGCCTAAGATGTTGTTTAAGCTTCAAAAATCTGATTGGTTCTTTGAGTCTCATTTTTTGTGTGTGCATGAAACTCCTGAATAAATGTGCATAATTAATTTTTTCGTATTATTAATGTGTCTTTTGTCAGTTTAATTTTCAGGGCTCTCCCTGGAGTTAGGGTGGAGGTGGAAAAATTTGGCCGTCCCTATCGAGGCACAGAGAAGACTTGACTCTGAAATCAGAACTCTGAGTATTAATCATGGCAATTTCATGATTGTTTTGGGTGTTCCAGGTGGGAAAAAAAGATGTCATAGAGCTCAGTATTTGGCCTATGACATGTACTAAAAAAATGGCTATCATAATTATTATTTTTCCACCAAAACAATATGGCTGAACAATAAGTCAGTGACTAAACTATATTCTACTTCAGATCTTAAAAATTCATTGTTATTATAACAAGTACATTTACTCTTTCATTGACTATATGAGAAATAAGTAGAAAAAATATTGTGTTCTTAATGCAGCTATTTCTACCATTAAAATTTTATTATGTGTCTTTGCATGTAGCCATTTTACATGAAGGTAGAGTGTAGATCATACCATATTCTATCTAACTTAAAAACTAATTTTTAGATCTATTTGTAACATTAGTGCATTCAGAACATTAATACTCATCTCAGAAAATTGTAACTACTCAAATCTGACCACTTATATAATATGTTCACTATTTTCTTACTGACTTGTTTCCATGTTTTGTATTCTGGTTTTATTTTTACTATAGAGAATGTGTGGTTTTTTTTTTGGAGAGATTTTCACTGTAGGGCGCGTGCGCTCGCCAGACAGACAGAGAGAGACATAGAGACAGAAAGCGAGAAATCACCCCCCAGGGGGGATGGTCATGCCGCAATCCCTTCTCCTCCATTCTCCTCTCGGGATCTTGGGCACGCACGCACACGTGCCCAGCGTGAGTTTTAAGCCACCGGGTCCGGGACACAAACCGCGGTCGACTACGTGGAAGTCCAGCGACATAGCCATTACGCTAACTGCTGGTTCCCAAGAATGTGTGTTTGAGAGAGAAATAAATCACCCTTCTCCCCCAAGGGGGATGGCCACACTGCAATCCCTTCTCCATTCTCATTTCAGGATTTGGGGCACACACACCCGGTATGTTTCTCAAACCACTGGGTCCAGGACTCGAACAGTGCAGCTGGCTATGTGGGATCCAGCTAATTTAATATCCATGCCATCTGCTGGCTCAGTTTCCATGTATTTTTCCATAGATTATATTGTATTGACCATAAAGATTCCTGAGACCACTTCAGGAAAATAAAATATTTATTTTCTAAATGAGAAAAAATGTAAAGTCTTACTGAGAAATAGTGATTACTATAGCCTTTCTCAAAAAAAAAAAGGGATAGTAGAAAGAATTACTATTTTTAATTTCTATCCAATATACATATATAGAAACAAACAATTAGAAAAAAAAAAAAAACCCTGGGCTTTGTGTAAAATTCTAAGTTTTCAACTTCATTGTGTTTGCCCCTTCTAAATTTTATAAGTTATTCCCTCAAACTTAACTTATTTTCTAAATTTACTGTAGCCAAAGATTATGTCAGTCTATGCTATAGGAATTTTTTTGTTTGTTTGGTCACTCTCAGAAATATCGATGTATTCCAAGAGGTTTTGTTTTTTTTTTCCCATAGGGTGTTTGTGCTCACCAAAGAGAGACAGAGAGAGGGAAAGTGAGAAATCACCCCCCAAAGGTAATGGCCACACCACAATGCCTTTTCCTCCATTCTCTCAGGATTTTGGGTGTGCACATCCCCAGCATGATTCTCAAGTCACCAGATCTGGGATTTGACCTGTGGTGGCCATGTGGGAGTCCAGTGCCTTAATCACCACTCCATCTGCTGGCCCCTCCAGGAGTTTTAATAAGGTTACGTACATACACATATACACATACATGAATAGGTATAAATATGTATCTGTGTGTCTTTTTAAAAATCATTTTACCTGAAATATCAAAACTGAATTATTTTCATATATGAAAGGAACTTCTAAAGGTTCATAAAAAAGTAGAGCTAAAGAACAAGTTTATTTTAGCAAAAAAAAAAAAAACTTGAAATCTATGCAGTTTTCTCCACAAGCTTTTGAAGTCCCCCTGGAACCATAAAGTGATGGTATTAAGAAGCATACCTTTGCGATAGGGCCTGGGGGTAGCACCTCATGATGATGTAAGTGCCTTATAAAAGAGTCTCTATGGGGAGCTCCTTTGCCCTTTCATCTCTGCCATGGGAGGACACAGCAATCTGGCACCTCTGTGAAGCAGAGAGCCTTTGCCCCACGCTGAACTACTGGTCTACTGGTAGCTTATTCTTGGACATCCCAGCCTTCAGAACTTGAAAAACAAATTTCTATTGTTTATAAATTACCCAAAGGGAATTTTGTTATGGCAGCTTGTACAGATTCAGATGTTTTGTCTTTTTTTTTAGTTTGCTAAAGATAAAAACATTCCATGCCTTTTCATGGACTTCTAGCTCTCTTTGTTTTACTGCTGAATAATATTTCATTGTTTGGATGAACCAACACAGTGTGTTTATCCTTCACCAATGGAAGAACATCTTGATCATATCCAGGTTTGGGATATTATGAATTCAGTTGCTATAAACATTTGCGTGCAGATTTGTTTGTATGTGTTGATATACATTTCAACCCATGTGGGTAAGCATCTAGTACCAGAATTCCTGAATCAAATTAAAGATTGTTCCTACTTCATATGAAACTGCCAGACTATCTTCCAAAGTGGCTGTACCATTGTGTATTACCATCAGCAATGAAGGAGAGTTCCTGTTGTTCCATTATTTGTCAGCATTTGATTTCAGTGTATTGGCTATCAGTCATTCCACGAGGTGTATAGTGGTATCGCACTATTTTAAATTGCAATTTTCTGATGGCATGTGACATATGTTATGTCTCCAATGACATATGATCTTTTGGTATTTTTTGTTGTTATCTGTATGCCTTCTTGGGTGAGGTATCTATTCAGATATTTAGCCTTTTTCCCCCCTTTTTTAGCTTGCTATGGGTCATGTGCCCTCACCAGAGAGAGACAGAGAGAGAGAGAAAAAAAAAGGAAAAGTGAGAAATCATTCCCTAGGGGGATGGCTGGGTATAATCCCTTCTCTTTCATTCTCTTGTCAAGATTTTGGGCAGGCACCCTCAGACGCCTGGTATAATCCTTAAGCATCAGTTCTGGGACTGGAATGACAAATTTGGCCATTTGGGATACAGCCTCCTTAACCTCCATGCTACCTACTGGCCCCTTTTGCCCATTTTTAAGTTGCGCTGTTAATTTTATTATTCTTTAAGTTGAAGAGTTATTTTGTGTTAAATACAAGTCCTTCATCAGACATGTATTTTTCAAAGATTTTTCTCTGTGTCTGAGGCTTGATTTTTTGGTCTTTCAATAGTGTTTTTTATAGAGAAAAAATTTTTCATTTTAACGAAGTCAAGCTTATCATTGTTTCTTTGCATACTTTTTATGTTGCATTTAAAAAAATCACAAAATCCAAGATGACCTAGATTTTCTTCTGTTATTTTATAGTTTTATAACTTTTGCATTTTACAGTAATATCTTTCATCCACTTTTGAGTTATTTTTTGTGAAAGGTGAAAAGTGCTTATATATATATATATATGTGTGTGTGTATATATATATACACACACACACACACACACACATATATATATGTGTGTGTGTGTGTGTGTGTGTGTGTGTGTGTGTGTTTGCTATAGGGAACATGCATTGCCAGAGAGACAGAGAGATAGAAAGTGAGAAATCACCCCCCGGGGGAATGGCCACGCCACGATCCCTTCTCCTCCATTCTCCTCTTGGGATCTTGGGCACACATGCACATGCACCTGGCATGACTTTAAGCTACCAGGTATGGGACTCAAACCACGGTCGGCTACATGGGTGTTCAGCAACATAGCCATTATGCCAACTTCTGGTCCCAAAAGTGCTTATATTAACGTTTTTTTGCATGTAGAAAAATTGTTCCAGTCGGTACAATTGTTCTAGCATCATTTGTTAAAAAGATGATCAATCTTGGGTCAGCCCCAGAGCCTAGTGGTTAAGGGAATTGAATCCTACATGGTCAACCACAGTTCAAGTCCCAACTTCAGCATAAATACACGCCACACCAGTCCAGTTAAAGAAATTTGTCATATATGTTATCATCAATAGACAATCCTACGTTTCCGTCTCCCTTAAATGTCTGGCTTCTCTATTTTTCTCCTTGATTCCCTTCCTCTCAATTCCCCCACCTTCTACCCTTCTACCACACTGTCTCTAGTATCCACAACCATTCTCCATGCTTCTATATGCTCTAATCTTTCAGTTTCCACCATAAAATGTATATATTTAGTTTTATTCAGTAGGGACATACAATGCCTTTCTTTCATAGTCTGACTTGCTTCACTCAGCAAGTAAATATTTCATATTCATTCACTTTCTATCAAATGTCAGGGTCTTGTTCTTTATGGCTGAGTAGTATCCCATAATGT